AAAATATCATGCCTGTTAGTGTGAACCCAACATGAACACACACATCACACACATAATCAAGTTGACTGGTAGGCTTTTGACACACATTGTTTAATGATACGAAAAACACATGTTCAATGACTTTGGATGTTTAGGTGGATCAGTTGTGAACATATGTCCAATGTTTATCTTTATTAAAACACTTTAACATTTGAAAAACAACCTCACAGCATGCAGCAAACTTTATTATGAATGATTTGCATGTTTAGGAGGTAAGAGAGGACATCAGTACTTTAGTAGTTTGGGTGACCCTTTAAAGCAGACAGTGGAGAGAGCTCTCTGAGTGATGAAGCCTGAATGTGTCTCACTTAAGATCCCCCAGTAGAGGACAGTGAAACATCAGAAACTGAATCAGGACCCGGAAACAAAGTACAGTTTACTATTTAACACGGATTGTTTTTGAACATTTCAATGTACTTGTTCGTCGTTATCTGAATGTAGCAGGATAAACTGTTCAGCCCTATCAACACGGGGAAACCTTTCTAAAGAGGGGTCAGTGTCGCTCTTGCTCCCTCTTGCTCTTTGGCAGAAAGGCCACTTCCGAGTTCCATTTACGTGCTTTCTCCGCTGGCACCGGTGAGTTTGCGGTGGCTGCCGTTTGTTGTATGCTTAGCATGACAAGTAGCATACATACTAAATGTGTATTGCTGGTTGTAGACCCTTGCAGGGATCCTGCAGCCCCAACACACTCTCACTCCCTAAGCGTCCAGGAGCGACGTTTGGTCAGTGTCCGTGGCGTCCAGTTGTGACGCTCCTAGGCTCCTTCAGCGTCATAAAGGGACGCAAATAGCTTTCAACTGATTGCAATGTATTCCCATCTGCGGCGGGATTTGACGCTCATGGAAGCACGCCATTCGTTTGTGTCGGCTGCCCTTAAAGGCAATGTGAGCGTCCATTCCCATTGGATAACGGAGAATTGTACACCCGGAAGTAAGTCTTCCCCTTACTATCGATTGATTTTACAGTGATATCTGCACTACTCATCGACTAAAAAACACCAGATTATCCTTGTTAATTACACAACATTGATTGGTATAAATTGTGTGCAATGCTTTTGTATTTTTCCCCTTCGATTCGAAGAAACAAATATTTTTTCGGAGTAAAGGATGGCAGAAGACACTACACTACCCAGAATCCCCAGCTATCGTTTGGACTACACCATGTGCTCTGACAAACCCCGTTTTTTTTCACCATTCATTCCAATGGCTGGCGTCTATGTCACGTGATCTTCAAATTTCTCCCTGCAGAAAAAGAAAACATGGCCGAACTTCGTTTTATTCTCGGTGGAAAATGCCTATTTTAAAGTTAGTTTGGCCATTAAAATGCGTTTTGATGTCATTTGATGCGAGAAATATGAGTTGTTATTTCAGATTATGTGTGCAGTGGATGTACATGATCTTTAGTTTTCTAGTTATTACGAACATTACTTCAGGAAATCGCGACGTTTTCATTGTTACCAAGGTGGTTGCTAGGGACGCTGCTATCGATATTATTTCTGTTATGTTGTGTAACTATTTAATGGTGTTATCTTTATTGCTACCCCCTTCTCCGTCAATGTATAGTGTTGGTCCACAGCGCAAACATATTAGTTTAACAAAATCCGCATCTAAAGATAGCCTACGTTATTTTCCCCTGTGCAATTCCAGTCTCACATCTCACAGCACATCGTCATTAACAAATACCGGAAACAGACCGAAAACATTTAAAAAAAATAAAATAATACTTTATTCCGAGTGTTCTTGCTTTTCTCTTTGAAAGTCATCACATAACGGCATTGTAATACACGGTTCGGCTGCATTAAATATTACATATCTGCCGTAGTTCTGTATTTATAGAGCCCTGATGAGAAGACTTCTAGACAAACATGAGGAACTGAAAACGTGACGTGGATCATAAATATATCAGCAGTTAAACAACTTCTTACATTTCTTTTCACACAATACGTCTCCAATTGGTAGATAGGCTGTATTTACACCATAAAGGTGCACAGCTGATATAAAGGGACACCTAGTGGTTAAAGCATGTTATTGAATTTCATTATTTGTATTATTAGATATTAATAGGATCCCTATAAAGTATATTCATTACTCGTTATTCTCTACTAATAGTTAATTGAAGACTGTATATAATGACTATTTTGCACATCCCTTTTCAAGATTTCAACTATGGTGTAGTTATGCATTGAATGAAAAACTTGGGTCGCAGGTTCCTCAATAGTGCATTACAAGACATCTATCAATATTTGTGCATACCTCCAGCAATGTTAACTATGTTGAAGCACTTATTTTAACTGATATTATACATATGTATTATACTCTTATAAGATGTATGTAGATATTTCATCTCCGACCTTGTCAGGTATTGAACAATCAATCAATAAAGAACACAGAATTGTTAAATATAAAACACAGAATTTATGTGATTATACTAAATGATTTACAAATAAACACCACTGCATATTTACAACTGTTACACATGCTGATGTAACGCAAATGTTCCAACTTGGGATCAATAAAGTATATATTATCTTAAGCTGATCGATATTTGCAAAATGTGCCTCTGAACCTTGACAAGTGCATGTTTCAGGCTTATCAATTAATGTAATGTAATGTAATGTTATCAATTAACAACAGGGGTCACAAACATAAGACCAGCTGTTAAATAAAGCTCTTCTGACCTTAGCTGGCATGTGTGTATATATATTAATGCTGCCCATTATGGGCACAAGCCATTTTCACCCATTTATTAATTATATGTTTTAAATTTGAGTGTTTCCTATCCCCTAAATGTACACAGTTTAATACTGGCAACTTCTTATTATGGGAAATACGAAAACGTCTTTTAAAACTACAACTCCCAGTAGAGACGTGCCATAGATAGAGAACATGTTGCGAAACACAATAGCCAGCATGTGTAGTTCTGGGGATGGGGTGGGGGAGGGGGGGTACGCGGTGGACAGGTTCAAATCCAGTTTTGGACAGTCTGCCTTGGTTCCATCCCATTTCAAGTGCTGTTCGAGAATCGGCGTAACCCTCGGAGCACACTCTCCAATCACAGAGCTTGAGGACTATCACGGGGTTTGTCAAACAGAGCACATGGTGTAGTCCAAACGATAGCTGGGGATTCTGGGTAGTGTAGTGTCTTCTGCCATCCTTTACTCAGAAAAAATATTTGTTTCTCCGAATCGAAGGGGAAAAATACAAAAGCATTGCACACAATTTAAACCAATCAATGTTGTGTAATTAACAAGGATAATCTGGTGTTTTTTAGTCGATGAGTAGAGCAGATATCACTGTAAAATCAATCGACAGTAAGGGGAATACTTACTTCCGGGTGTACAATTCTCCGTTATCCAATGGGAATGGACGCTCACATTGCCTTTAAGGGCAGCCGACACAAACGAATGCCGTGCTTCCATGAGCGTCAAATCCCGCCGCAGATGGGAATACATTGCAATCAGTTGAAAGCTATTTGCGTCCCTTTATGACGCTGAAGGAGCCTAGGAGCGTCACAACTGGACGCCACGGACACTGACCAAACGTCGCTCCTGGACGCTTAGGGAGTGAGAGTGTGTTGGCAGCCCATGTCTGCTGCCGCTGTTGAACGAAGCTCTCCTGCTGTGTTAACTTAGCCTGATCGGTAGGTACGCTTTTTTCTTGTCTCATTTGCCTTAATACTTGAAATCAAACATGTGATGAATTGGAACCACCTCTCCTGCCCCTCAGTATTAGGAACCTGAATGCCTTATTGGTACTTTGAATAATTATTTCCTTGGGTGCAATTCCCAAGGTGGCGTTGTCCGGCTTTTAGTTAAATGTAGATCTTAAATAGGATTTCAAACAAACACTACCACGTGCCGCCACATTAACATTTTATGAGTTTAACCATTTCTACTCAGGTGTGTTTCTGCCAAATCAAAATATGAGCAAGAATACCTGGAATAAGACAAATGAATGCACGAGAGGATAAAGGGAGGCAGGAATGGATGGTGTAGTAGTGAGTTTCCATATAGAAGTGCTCTGTAGACCTTATTGTTGGCTGCGCCTGACAACACATGAAGTGAAGTTACAGAATACTGTCCATATGTAGAAGATGCAGAAGAGGATCATACCTTTGACACTTGAAAAAGCCAGTTCAGTCGTTGTTCCTGGGTCTGGTCGTCCGCTGACTAACCACCTGCCAATCTGACTTCTTTCTGTTGTCTCTTTGTATTTTCTCCAAATTAATTTGCGTGCATCTTGTTTGGTCACTAATATATGCCTGCGTATGTTTGCTGTATAATTGTATGGAATATTTATGTAAAGTGTCAACGTGTTTAGAAAAGCTAAATATAATGTGGATAAAAAAAAAAGTACATTACCTGGCATAGAGAGAAGGACGACAACAAATCCACTCGCTGTTAAACTCATAGCTGCTCCTCTCGTCTCCGTGCGGCTTCAGTGACAAAATAACAAATAAGTTGATTGATGTCCACAAGAAAACCCTTCATCATTAAAAGAAAGGGAGTTCAGGAGACCAGTTTGTGGTAAACAGAGCACCTCTCCTCACTGACAAGAGAAGACACATCCTAATGTCTTCCTTTATTATAAAAGCAGTCAAACTTCAAGATCTAAATCCACGTTCTGTGAATAAAATCAACAATGCAAATTAAACAAACTACTAATGCAAATTAACATCACTTGATATTATTATGAGACTATCTGGACAGTTTCATAATGTGTACAGAAAGTCACATCTCAACATTTGTTCATTGAGGTATAGCTTGGGTTTTACATTTCATTTCAGTTTGAACAAATCTAAACTGTACATGGAGTGAAATGTGATCAGGTCTCTCTCAGCCAGGACAGCTATAAACCAAGACACTGATCAGGATATTTAAAAATGATTTATTATGTTGAATTTAAAAGAAACAATTTGCGTAAGACTTGTCCTAGACTTTTGTAATATCAACAAATGTACATATAACATAAGCATGTATAGTTCATCATGTTTGACACCTTTACATGATTCACTTCACATTCTTCTAAACCTACAAGCTGCTGCTACTGGAAACTGACATTAAACAATGTTTGGAGTTGAAGGTGAATATATACAACGTCCTTCTTCTTTGTTTCCATCAGGTGAGCGTCTGAAGAAAATCACAGAGACTTTGTGTGAAGTTACAGCTGGAACTGTGACTCTACATGTGGAGTGGGCCTGTTTGATCTGATGCAGGAGGCTCTAACCTGACTGGACTTCACACCATGTCTCCCTGCTCCTCTGGGTCTTCTGTCTGTGCTGCAGTGTGTGAGTCGTTCTCATACTCAGGATCAGAGTCCAACTGATGAAGAGAGAGAAGACACAATTAGACCCTCATTCATGAAACCTGCATATACTATGAGATATTATCAAAAAGGTATTTTATTTTGAAGATTAGTTGATGTCATTGTTTTATGACCAAATGCACATAACTCCTCTTTTCCAGAGCATTTATGGGACAATTTATAATCGAGACGTATTGGAAGTGTTGTCAACAGGTCCGCTCTCTCTCACCTCTATCTCTTCAGGTTCATGTGCTTCAGTGGTGGAGCGCAGAGCTTTCTTCTTCCTGGATTAAGGACAACATCAACAAGTGCCAAATTCATGACAGTGAAATGTGAGGATGTTATAAGAGAATAAATAAATGGTGAGTGAACTGATGAATTTATATTGTTGTACCTCGTCCACAGAGTCAGGAGAAACACAGGAATCAGAATCAAGACCCCCAGAGTCGTCCTGATGATATTCACTATCGTTGTTGAACTCCCTAGAAACATGAACACATATGTGATACTTCTAACTACTAGATTAATATATCCCTTCAGTCAGTGATCCACGTCTATAATCCTGAACAACGAAAGTTTTATTTCTGTGTAACCAGTTTTCAGTTATGGGTTGCTTCATATTACAAAGTGAATCAGGTCTGGTGAATGTAGAGAACTTACCTGCCACAACAATCAGAGTTAAGGTGGAGTTACTACGTCCTAACTTGTTCTGGGCTCCACAGGAATAACTCCCACTGTGTTTAGCTCTGAAGTCAGTGATGGTGAAGATCTGTCCTGAAGCTTTTGGAGAGTCTTCATCCTCCTTGTACCAGGTGTAGTTAGCTGCTGGGTTAGCATCACTGCTACAAGTCAGAGTCACTGAACTGCCCTCCATGATTTCATCGGAAGGACTCACTGACACGATGGGAATATTCAGAGCATCTGGAGTAGAAAACAACAATTCTGTGAAGCAAATGTTAGGTGCAAAGTATCTGGAGGTTGATTCCTTAATGAGCTGTCTCTGTTATGTCGTTCAAATTAATTACACCGTGTAGCGAACTCACATAGCAAAGGAGACCTGTAATTCTCGCGTCCTTGCAAAGCACAAGAGATGATGTCTCCAGGATAAAACCAGTCTTTATATAAAGGTCTTTCCTCTTTGATGATTTTCTCGTTGTTCTTGAACCAGACGTAGGAAACACCAGCTGGACTGCAGCTGCTGCGACACTTCAGCTCTGCATAGGTGTAAGCCTGGTGGACTGTTGATGTGATCACCTGCACCTGCAGAGCTGGATATGTTTAACATTAAACATCAAATGTGATAACCTTTAACGTTGTAAGTGACGTACTTTCAGACATCAAAAATAACAAATATAAATATAAAGTTATGATATGTACCACAAACAGAAGTGGTTAATTCAAATAATACATTGAATAGCTATTTGCTAACCAAATAGCTATGCTAATAGCTTTCTTACTTTTATTTAAGTAGCAAATTAATGTTACTTGTAACAGAACATGTTTACAATGTGGTGTTAATAATTTGTCTTAAATACTGTACATAACTTGATTCTTCTTCCTCTGATTAATTGAGATCATTTTCCTAATAATCTACAGTGAGCTATTATTTCAAATAAACACTTTATTTACACAACATTTGTAAAGACACTTAAAACCATGGTAAAAGCCAATAGTTATAAAACCCTTCAACCAAATTCTTAAGAAAGTGGTACAAAAGTTTTAGTTATTTTAATGAAGCTGCTGCTGCTGTATAACATCAGTGTGTGTTGATCAGTACCTGTGACAGTCAGAGTTGTTCCAGGTAAATCACTCCCCCATTCAAAGCTTGTTGTTTTGAATGTGAAGAGATACTGAGCTGAATCTGAGTCTCTCAGGTCAGAGATCCTCAGAGTGGAGCGTCCTCTCTCTGTCTCAAGGATCTGAACACGACCTCTATACTGGGAGTCTTTACTAAGGTCCTCAGGTTGAGAGGGATTCTGTCCCTGATGACTACGCTCAGGACTTAACCAGAACTTAGATTTAACATATACTTTATAACCGTTGTACGTGCAGGAAATGTCCACTGATGATCCTTTTAAGGCGCAGATGCTTCTCTCAGTGTAAATTACTCTGTTACAGGTTTGACCAGTGACACCTGAAAAACAAAACAATTTCAAATGTTCTTCGTGAATTTGTTTTGGCAAAAAAACGCTCGTTTAGGGCACATTCAAACAATGGCAAACAGAAGTGTGTGCACTATTTTTTTTAAACAAACATGCTGTAATCACTGTAAAGCCGACTGAGGTGAGTTTAAGATTGTTGATATTGGGTTATATACTATAAAATATTTGGTTGGTTGTTTCTAGGGATGCTCCGATCGATCGGTCACCGATCGATATCGGCCGATACTCACTCTCTACCGATCGATCGGTGCTCTCTAAACATGCCGATCGCGAGAGCCGATTGCATGACGTAAAATACATGACACTTTTCTCTGTGTGCGGCAAAACAAGCTCGCCAGAATGGCTTCACCGGTCTGGCATTATTTTAAGGTGTCCGAAAAAGACAGTAAAATAGCGGTATGCAACGTGTGTGAAGCAGAAATCCTGCAGCTCCGCCCGCCTGTCTGCCGGACCGGTAAGCGAAACACACACTGAGAGTTAGACCTAACACACTTAGCTATTTTATCTACCTCTGGAACAAGCTAAACTAGTTATTATAAATATATTTATTCTTCACTGTCGGGTCACTCATTACTGGATCAGTGAGCTGCATGAGATACTGACAGGCTGTCAGGAGAGAGAGAGAGGAAAAGAGAGCGCTTCCGCTCATTTCTCCCGTGTTATTATCCAAAGTGAATGTAAACTTGAATAATGTACATCATTTGAATGTAATAATTAAGTTGATTGTTGTTTGTGGAAGCTCCAGTGAATGAGCCCCATTAACTGAGTTTAAACATCACTTAAATGGAAGATTTAAAGTGATGTTTAAATCTTCCATTTAGGCCCCGCCCACTCGATCGGATCGGCGATCGGTATGGGCCGATACTGATTCCGGCGATCGGCCCCGAAATTGGCGATCGGAGCATCCCTAGTTGTTTCACAATAAAGTAACATTTAAATGTGTCATAAAAAGTATAGTATGTCACACAGAAGTCAATCAAATCATGTTACAATTTTCCAAAGAAAACCTCATAAAAAGTCACAGTACAGTTTTTCATAAAGAAGTCAAGAAGTAAGAGTATGTAAAAACAATTGCATGGTCTTTGCAGCATCTCTGCAATGTTGTTATCAGCAGTATGCTTTTCTTCTGAGTCTCAGCTATTTCGGGTGAACAGCTACTACTGAATTAAAAGCTTTGAAGGTAAAGTTCAATAACCTACAAGCTCCACCAGAGGGCCAGAGGGAAACACTCACACACTGGAGGCGAGGGGAAATCCTCATGTCCTCGCACAGCGCAGGAGTAGCTGGATGCAAAACCAAAGTAGACTGAATATGAAGATAATGTTTCTTTTGCAATTTTCAGCCCATTCTCATACCAGATGTAGGAAGAACCATGTGGCAGGCGACAACTGGTGTAACACTGGAGCTTAGACCATGAAGATGAATGCACCTGCACCTTCACCTTCAGATCTGGATCTTGAGGATAAAAACAATGTTTGTTATTTATCAAATACCCAAATCAAGGGTACATATTTAAAAAAAAGATGAATATCAAATGATTGTTGTAATTATTAACTTACTTTCAACATTTTAAAGGGGTAAGAAAATACATAGAATCATGCACTCATTATCAGTCGTACAATCTTCTGTTATAAACATACCACCTTAACTACTGTACCATGTTGATATAACATCAGTGTGTGTTGGTCAGTACCTGTGACAGTCAGAGTGGTACCAGGTAAATCACTCCCCCATTCAAAGCTTGATGTTTTGAATTTGAAGAGATACTGAGCTGAATCTGAGTCTCTCAGGTCAGAGATCCTCAGAGTGGAGTGTCCTCTCTCTGTTTCAAGGATCTGAACACGACCTGCATACTGGGAGTCTTCACTAAGGTCCTCAGGTTGAGAGGAATTATGTCCCTGATGACTACGCTCAGGACTGAACCAAAACTTTGATTGAACATATTCATGGCTGTACATGCAGGAAATGTCCACTGATGATCCTTTGAAGGCACAGATGCTTCTGTCGTTGTAAATCACTCTGTTACAGGTTTGACCGTCAACACCTGAAAGATAAAACATTTGTTGAACTGAGCTGATACAACTCCTTCTCTCACAGCTGTAATACAGAGCAGGTTGTTGAGTTGCTTAAAGCAGAAGTGATCATGGAGAGCGAGGGGCCAAAAATAAAAACGTAATGTAAAAAGAGGAAGTGGGTTTATTGATATTCAAAGTACTTGCAATCATTGTGCCATGGCGTTCTGTTAGTGAAAGACTGTGGAGTAAACTCACACTGTGAAGGAGACGGGAAATTCTCATGTCCTTTAAGAGCGCAGGAAAAGCTGTCAGCTGAATCAAAATAGACTGAAAAAGAAGAAGAGGTTTCTCCCCGAATGTTCTGTCCGTTCTTGTACCAGATGTAGGAAGGATCATGAGGTAAAAGACATCTGCTGTGACACTGAAGCTTTGCTCTGGAAATACTCTGGTGGATCATTGTTTCCATGACCTTGACCAGTAGATCTGGATCTGAGAAGGCAACAAAAAGTTAAATAATGATGATTTATATTCATATAAATACCCCAAAGCATTCACAGCATCTACAATGGGTGTTTGTTTCACCCCATGGTTCATTAGATAGTAGCTATTGAATAACATAGAGACATTATCAACCACACACACACACACACACACACACACACACACACGCACGCACAGCAGGATTAGGTTGGAACACTTGCATAGCAGGAAATATCACACTAAGTTCTTTATCAAACATTCATAGCACACTGTAAACATTTATATGACAGACCTGTGACAGACAAAGTGACTCCTGGTGAAGCAGTATATGCATCTTTGTTTGTTTTGAGCCTGAACCTGTACTCAGCTGAGTCGCTCTCTGTCAGGTTTTTGATTCTCAGAGTGCATCTGTTGTTTCCACAGAGATACTCTACACGACCTGCGTACTCTGAGGCTGTGGTCAGATCTACAGGTTCACCATCTTTCTTCTGAGTAAACCAGAAGGTTTTCTGTACTGTGTTTACTTGGTGATTTATTGTAGATGGGTATCTGTAGCTGCAGTTTATCTCCACTGTTGATCCTTTCACTGCACAGATCTGAGTAGAAGAGTAAGTCACTCCCCAGCCATACTGACTCTGAACCGCTGAAACACAGAGCACATCAGAAACTATAATCAAAGTGAACGACTTAAGTTAACAATTAGTTACTAAGAATATTTGTATCATAATACCAATATCATATCAGGAAATCTAAGCTGGGCAAGCGTCCAGATCCCCAATCATCAGAAAAAGATTATAATCATGCATCTACGGTATCTAACGAGGACTGAATATATTTGTATTAGGTGTTTATCATATTTATCATTGTTAAGAGAATATGTCCTACTTTTATGGGTCAAAAAACAAACTGTTTTTTTTTTCAACGTCAGTGCACTCAAAGATTGGTGGATGACTTAATATAAATGAACAGTGAATGATTAGCGATCACATTAATTAGAATAGAGACTCTCTGAACAGTTCGCTCTGTGGTCAGGTTGCTGCTGAGGTCAGTGTGAACAATAACAATGAATGCAGAACACTGAGGTGAGAGCAGCTTCTGTCTGATATACAGATTAGAAAAAGAAGAAGACTGCTTTAAACTCAGAGCGTGGAAATATAACACTGAGGTCAGAGAGGAGAGAAGGAACTAGAAGGGTTTGGTGCAGAGGTAAGATCCATAAGAGTGGAGTCAATATGTTTTGACTTAGAATAAGAATATCTCTCTAAATCACTTCAACTTAATAAAAACAGAGCTGGAGATTCTTGAAGTCGTCTTAAGAAAAAAAGCAAAATGTTTTCAGAGAGAGAGGATGGAACAGTTATGCATACACTATATTCTGATTTTAACGCTTGTTAAAGTGATAAGCAAACTGATATTTGATGCAAATGATTAGAGCAAAGGACAGCGGCAACGCACGACAAGATCTTCAGAATATCCATCAAAAAAACTAGTGACGTCTTTGAGTTTCTACAATTCTACACACAATTACATTTTAAATGTTTCTGCTAGGTTTGACTTTTACACAAATCCATCCCACTTATTCCCACATGAGACCTGGTTTAACAAGTCCCACATTTCCCAGAATCCCCTCTGTTCATGTGATGAATGTAAGTGTAGAAGTACAGTACCTGACACAGAGAGCAGGAAGACAACTAATCCACTCGCTGCTGCAGTTAGACTCATAGCTGCTCCTCTCATCTCTGTGAGACTATAAAACATGTCAGATTAAATAATGTTCACAGGAGGTTTACAGAATCATTCCATCAATAAACTGTTTCTACTTACAGTGAAGGAGGAACCATGTGTTCAAAGATGCCTTTCCTCTTTCGTCAATGAGCAGAAAATGGATATCAGGCTTTTAAAAGACTAGATTTCCTTCCTCTTTAGATTATTAATATGCATGATGAGCCAAATGCCAGTAACACCCACTACACAGTAAAGTTTGGTTGTTTTACAAAGTATAAACTTTTCTTATACAAAATATACTAGGGCTTTAACTTGTTTAATTGCAGATATACCACTGCAACACATCCTCACTCCCAGGTCGGCCTATGTTGACGTTATGTCAAGTCCCCCGTGTCGGCTATTTCCAACGCAAAGGGGGGGCCCTTAGCGTACATTTTCAACTTTCCGGGATGTCCATAGGCTTCTATAGAGCTCCCTAAACGTATGTTGTAGACGACTTGAGATCGCGAGCGAATGCTACCCGCAGATCCATTCTCACAGCGTTTATCAACCTTTTTCTTACTCAATATCAAGCCACACTTATTGTTTTTACTTCTTTATTTTAATTGAATAATGTAGGACTTTTGTTGCCGTCAGTTATGGGGAGAGTAGGGGCTCAGAATACTGACATCTGTATCTGTATTAATGGACGTGCCGTTGTGCGATTGCGTTGCCAGCAATCATTTACAAACTCTTGAAATACAACCCTAATTATATTTTAAAACATTTTAGAAGGCCTCACAAAATACTTCAATGTAAATTCAAATGTAAATGTGAAGGGATGTGTGTAATGTGGTGATTGACATTATTCACCCACGAATCTATGGGTTGGGGTATTGTTCCGCACGGACATTTTAGTTCACCGGACTTCCTGTTGATGTGAAATACGATTTTTTTTTTTTTTAAATAATATTTTATAATATCTGCCGTAGTTTGCTATTTATAGTAAGAGCCCTGATGAGAAGACTATAGGCAAACAGGAACAACTGCCGCCGAAACTGAATATGTGACGTGGATCATAAATATATCAGCAATTAAACAAAATCTTCTATTTCTCTTCACACAATGCGTCTCCTTGCAGTATCAATACTAATTCGGCTGACTTTTATATTTGATCCAATCGGTATTTTGGTATATTTACACCATAACGGTGCACAGCTGATAGAAAGGGACACCTGGTGGTTAAAGCACGTTATTGAAATGTATTATTTTATTATTAGATATTAATAGGAGACACAGACAGACAAACTAATAAGGCTTTATTTAAACATTAAAGAATACTTTAGGTTAAGGTCTTATTTTGAATAAGAAAAAAGCTTTGGGGGTATAAATATTAAGCCTGACAAAGTACTAATATATTGCTTTCCTGCAATGTTAACTACTGTATGTTTAAGCACTTATTTTAACTGATATTATACATATGTATTATACTCTTATAAGATATATGTAGATAGTATAAGAAATGTGCAGAATACGACAGTTTAATGGAGGTATACACACATATTGATAGATGTCTTGTAATGCACTGTTGAGGAACCTGTGACCCAAGTTTTTCATTTCCGTGCTTGTCAGGTATTGAACATTCAATAAATAAAGAACACATAATTATTAAATATAAAACACAGAATGTGTGTGATTATACTAAATGATTTACAAATAAACACCACTGCATATTTACAACTGTTACGAAAATGTTTCCAACTTGGGATCAATAAAGTATATTATCTTAAGATGATCGATGGCTACTGCCATATTTGCAAAATGTGCCTCTGAACCTTGACAAGTGCATGTTTCAGGCTTATCAATGAACAACAGGAGGGGTCACAGACATAAGACCAGCTGTTAAATAAAGCTCTTCTGACCTTAGCTGTCATGTGGGTATATATATTAATGCTGCCCATTATGGGCACAAGCAATTATCACCCATTTATTAATTATATGTTTTGAATTTGAGTGTTTCCTATCCCCTAAACCTCCAGGAATGTACACAGTTTAATACTGGCAACTTCTTATTATGGGAAATTTGAAAACGTCTTTTAAAACTACAACTCCCAGTAGAGACGTGCCATAGAACATGTTGCGAAACACACAATAGCCAGCATGTGTAGTTCTGGGGACGGGGTGGGGGAGGGGGGGACGGGGTGGACCTGTTCAAATCCAGTTTTGGACAGTCTGCCGTGGTTCCATCCCATTTCAAGTGCTGTTCGACGCTCGGCGTAACCCTCGGCGCACACTCAAACATCCAATCACAGAGCTTGAGGACTATCACGGGGTTTCTCAAGCGAAGCGGAGAGAATACTTACTTCCTGGTGTAAAATTCTCTAAAGCAACTACTATGAGCTGCTCCGACCCTCGGTCCTGACGGACTCCAACTTGTGTTTATTAATCAAACAAATAAATAAACACAAGGATAATTGTGTGTTATTGTTGAGTAAATAACAGTGTGTGGTTTAGAAAATAATACAAAATTAGAAGGAAAAAACGATGAAACAATACAGATGTCAGTATTCTGAGCCCCTACTCTCCCCATAACTGACGGGTAAAAGTTCTACATTATTCATTTAAAATAAAGAAGTAAAAACAATAAGTGTGGCTTGATATTGAGTAAGAAAAAGGTTGATAAACGCTGTGAGAATGGATCTGCGGGTAGCATTCGCTCGTGATCTCAAGTCGTCTACAACATACGTTTAGGGAGCTCTATAGAAGCCTATGGACATCCCGGAAAGTTTAAAATGTACGCTAAGGGCCGCTCCCCTTGCGTTGGAAAAAGCCGACAAAGGGGACTTGACATAACGTCAACATAGGCCGACCTGGGAGTGAGGATGTGATGACCACTGACACCAGAAAAGAGCATTCAAATGAAGAAGAGAATAACAGTTGATCTCTATGAGCACTGAGGACGTCACACAGTCTGCAGGTGTAGTGAAGGAACAGGAAGGCATTAACCTGAAAAACCATGAGGCAGTTTAACTGAACAGGATGAAGAGAACCACATTCATTATAAGAGAGGATGGAAAATGCAATATAATTTCTCTTGGTTTGTTTTCGTCTCTGCTCTCTCTGCGGTCAGGTTGCTTCAGTTTCAGAGAAATGCAGAACTCTGAGGCGTGAGAAACTCACATGCCTGTTAGTGTGAACCCAACATGAACACACACATTATCCACTTTGAGCGATAGAATTACTAACAAAGAATTGCTAACAAAGCACTTATATACTAATAAAGGACTGGCTTACCTAAAGCCAGCTGAGTAGCACTTGAAATGTTTTTGCTCTATGAAGCCTGATGTACTTTATGATTCTGTTTTCTTCAAGGTTGTATTTTGTTGGTCGAACGCACTTATTGTAAGTCGCTTTGGATAAAAGCGTCAGCTAAATGTAATGTAATGTAATAATCAAGTGGACTGGAAGGAGCAGACACACAATGGTCCAGTAATTATTGTTGGTGCTATTTATTGATTTAACATGTTGATGTTGATCTGTGTCATGGAAGAAGTTTCCTTCATAATTCACTCGTTTATTCTTCTTTCTAGTAGCATCCCTCGTAGCAAGAGTATATTTGACATACTTTAAAATCAAACCTAGAGCCCTGGTTCAGTGTCTTTGGACACTGCCATGTCTGCTGGCGACCTCTGGTGGGTAAATAGATACATGAGTGCAATGATGATATTTACATTTACTTTCATTTGGTTTCATTTGTTTATTCATTTGTGTTTACTACCAAGCAGAACAACATCGTGTGAAACACACACAGACATTAATTAATCTATAAATGTAAGTGAGAATAAATGTAAAAGATATATCAAATATATATAATAATGTGTGTTCTGTATTATTCTCAACTTTCATTTTTTAATGTATACATTCATTTCAGGATTTATTATAATTTTGTATTATTCCTATATTTATTTCCACTTGTATTTATTCATGATTCTTTTCCTGTATTTATGCATTTATTTATTTTTTACTTATGCCATGTTCTGTCCTCAATACCTGTGTGCTCGTTGTGTGCATAAACAAATTCACTCTAAATCACATCACATCAAGACCTGTAGTTTGGCATTCATTATTTTAAAAACACACTCGTGGTCCAGAGGATTATGCATTTAGTTTTCATTCAGGTGTTTTAGGTTCAACACCCAGGAGAGGAATATCTTTAATCTTCTGCTGTGCTGATGTTAAATCTGGAGAAATAAATAAAGTGACGATGATGATTCAAGATTCAATTCAAGATTCAAAGGTTTTATTGTCATATGCACATAAGCTACAGTGTAGAAATGACAAGGACATTCTTCTGACCTGAGCTCCTCCAACAATGCAACATATAGAATAGAATACAAAATGCAAAATAAAATAAGAAGTATTGCAAAAAGTCTAAATACATAGACTCAATAGATTCAATAGATTGTGGAGAAAGCACGATTTTTTAAGAATGTCTGGTCTGGTGGAAAGACTTTATAAAAGTGTGAGAAACAGTCAAATCCAGAGGGAGGCAGTGATGCAACACTGTGGAAGCAAACAGCCGTAACACATCAAAGGAGAAGAAGCAGAGGAAGTGCATCTATTTTGAAAGGAGTCCGTAGAGGCTTCTCAATAATCAAATTTCCCCTCCTCGACTCCTCGACTCCTCGGTCCTCCGGTAGTGACCCGGAAATGAATTTCAGAGCGCCATTTTGAAGGACGTCTCATTTCTCTAAATGCACACCGAGGACCGTTCATCGAGCGTCGAGGAGGCTCTCTGGAGGAGCTCTAACCGAGGATACACTGATGGTTCCTCCACGGCTCCTCCACGGATGCATTTCCGGGAACGGTGGAGGCGTGACGCACGGCCGGACTTATCTCAGCCAATGACAGCTCTGCATGCATCCCCTGGATATTATTTTAGAAACTGCTTTCATTGCGTCGCGATGTTTCCAGAGAGAACAGCTGTGAGGTCCGTGCAGAAAGCAGAGCAGTGTGTATAATATATATCACTCAGTATAACAGGCCTACTCTCTTTATTTACTTTAGTTTAGTAGATATCTACAAACAAAGAGTCGATATTTTTCTAAGACCATTGCTTCACATAATAAAATACACAACGGCTTATGCTTTAGGAGCTGTAGGTGTGTGGTACAGTGTGTAGGTGTGTGTTGTACAGTGTGTAGGTGTGTGTGTGGTACAGTGTGTAGGTGTGTGTGTGGTACAGTGTGTAGGTGTGTGTGGTACAGTGTGCGACGGACAGACGGGTCTCAGTTGGTTTGGTGTCCTCTGCTTACTTTTAATAGGCCTACTTGTAAATACAACTTTTGGCCCGTAATTTCAATTCCCCATTTCAGCGACCAGAGAGAGGGAGAGGGGGGGGGGGGGGGGGGGGGGGGGGGGGGGGGGATATATCCAGTCTCTGATTGTGTTACGTTATTATGAGAGTGCTCTCATACTTTAAATTGTATATATTTATATAAATATATTTGTGTGTGTGTGTCCGCATCTGTAGCCTGTTATTGTCTCATTATACCGCACTCTCAATGAATTCAAAGTAAATATGTGGGGGAACAAAGTTCAGCTGATCTAACAGAGATACAGCGCTATGACAAAACACTCGACAGCTGATGCAGCTGTTGCCACGTAATAATGAACGGACGTCTCTTTAAAATGACCGCTCAGAGAGGAGTTCTCATTTCTTTAAACGTCTGCTGCTTCCCCTCCTCTCTCCTCGGTTCCCCTCCTCGGTCCTCCGCTCGCATCTCCTGTGGGCGGGTCTAAGTCTCGAGGAGGGGAACCGAGGAGGGGAAATTTGAGTATTGAGAAGCCGCTCGTGTTTCCAGGGTGCATTGCGCTTACTCGCAATCATGGTGGATAAATGAATGGAAGAAGCTTGAATCTTGAATCTCGAGTGGAAAGCTCACTATATAGCAGTGGTTCTCAAAGTGTGGGGCGCGCCCCCCCTGGGGGGCGTAGAGGCATGCCAGGGGGGGCGCGAGAGACCAGGAGGAAAAATGGTTATATAAAAAAAAAAAAGATTTAAAAAAAAAAAAAATTCATAATTTGAAAAATTATTGATTCGAAAATAATATGATACAGTACAGTACTATTACGTCTGGGTCTCTGTGTTTCATTAAAGCTCGGCTCTGTGTGTGTGTGTGTGTGTGTGTGTGTGTGTGTGTGTGTGTGTGTGTGTGTGTGTGTGTGTGTGTGTGTGGAACGAGCCATTTTGTGTGTGTGCGAGAGAGAGAGAGAGCGCACCGGTACCGGAGATCGTTGTTCTTAGCTTCTGGTGCTAGCGAGCTACGCTAACGGATATAAGAAGTTTTTTCAACAACAAGGTGGAGGAGAGTCCTCTCCTGTCAGACTGAGAGACTCAGTGAACTAAAGGACTCTCTGAGTGTTATCTCAGTGGGTCTCAAACGTTTTGGTCACCATTAATGTAAACAATTATTTCCGAGGCACACATTTATATGATCATTATAGTTATAAAAAAATAAGAGAATAAATGAAAAACAGGTATGAAATACTATATGACAGTAAAACAAGAATACAGTTTAAAAGAGTGATTTGTAAAATATCCATAAAGAAAAAGTAAATCTGTTTACAGTTCTGTTTCATCTGGGTGTTGAAAGAGGTATCCATAGATCTCTTCATTTTGCTCTCAATGTGTCCACACACCACCTATACAAATAGCACGTTACCCCTGCTTACCTATATGCCGTGAGCTGATTATCGAGCCTTCGTTGTAACAGTTGCGGGAACACTGTGTATGTGCGTGTGGAGAGTGTTGCAGTAGACAATTCCACTGTAGCGACCGGTACATTAATGGGAAACCCTAAATGTTTGAGCACCCTCTATGAAACGTCAAGCTACCACACAGCACCCCCAAAAGAAGTCTGTGGCGCCGCCACTGAGCATGACTATGTGTGTTGGGGGGGCCCGACTTTTTTTTTTTCTCCAAAGGGGGGGCCTGACAGAAAAAGTTTGAGAACCACTGCTATATAGAGACCAGGTAGCAATTTCCACCTGTTACCACTAGAGGGTCCTGTTACAACAATACATCTCTGAAATGAGTGATGAGGTGTGGCTTTACAGGAAAGTGAAACTTAAGGTTTAGTTCAGTGAGGCAGAGCAGAAACCATGGCGTCTGGTTCTTACTCCGAAGATTTGACTTGTCCTGTCTGTCACACTTTCTTCACAGATCCAGTGAATCTTCCCTGTGGACACGCTTTCTGCAGAGAATGTATTCCAGACGGTGTGAGTTCACCGCTCTATTGTCCACAGTGTGGGGAGGCTGTTCCTCCAGAGGGGGGATGTCTGCCCACCAGCCTCATATTGAAAAGCCTCTCTGAGAAGGCCAAGGCTGAGGTAGGTTGCTGCTGCTCACTTACACTCACTTTTGGGTGTTCTAAACCCACACTAACTATATAGGATGAAATATTAGTGTTATAATAGCACTATTATAACTACTAATAATACTATTTTGCTACGTATTCTTCGTTCTGTCTTTGCATGCACCATTTATACAAAGGCAAATTCCTATGAGTAAACCTACTTGGTAAAGAGCTATTCTGATATGTCAATTACATGGATCATAGTTTGAATCTTGCGAATATTTTCAAGTCAACTCCAGTCATTACATGAGTTGTTTGTGCATGCTAGGACAGCTCCCTACTGAAAGAACGTTTGCTCGTCTTTAAGAGATCAGCAGGTTAGTGTTCTTCCCCTGAGGCCTGTACGACGAAGCCAGTTCACCAGACCCTGGATATCTTTTAGTTATCCGGCTTAACTAACCCTAACAAACACGATTTTCTCACAGCATAAGTTACCATGGTGATGTACCCCGGTAAGAAGTGAACCAGGGTCTTAAAACTCAAACGTAACCCTGAAGTAACCCCGCTAACCCAACATCCTGCTTCTTAGGCCTCTGCTCTCAAATGTAAAACGAAAGTGATGAATGATGCAACATTCAGTCAGGGTGAAGCAACTTTCAGACTGCACACAACGTGCACACTAAACAAGATAAGGGACTGGTACAAAGGTGGTGCAATAAACAGAACTACTCAAGATTTATAAAATATATTGTTCACACTGGAACAAATGCTGCTCCAAAAACAAGTTGAAAAAATAATGAAAACAAGGTGTTTCACTTGAAATAATGCAACAATCTGCCAATAGAACAAGTGAGAATTAGCTTGGTAAGATTTCTTGAAATAAGAAGGGATATTTAGATAAATCAGATCTTGTAATTAGCTGGACAACTTATGTTGAACTATATTTGACCAGAATCAGGACATTTTGTGCTTCAAAATATGCCGCAAATGCTCAAAAGTGTTGTTTTCTGATGTTAGTTGGTGATTTTCCAATAAATATGAAAATAAATATTCATCTGAGATACAACTCAGAATAAGATTTTTTTGAATTAACAAGATGATGCATTGTCTAAAAACAAGACCTGATATCTCACTGCAGTGTTACTTCTGAAGTTATTATGTCTTATAGATGAGAGTAACACCTACGTCACTTCCGGGCAAAAATTACGGCCCCGCCCACTTTTGGGGGAAAACAACGCTGTCATTTGAATGGCGGTCGATACAAATTCTGAAGTTTTTGCCAATCCGATAATTTTTTTTGAAAACCGTCGATTTTTGGATCTTCAAAGAGCCCGATTACGATGGCCAGACAGGCAAACAATTACATTTGATCATTGGTAATCGACAATCGGTCTTGATATATGGTTAAATAAAAATCAGTAGGCGAGCCTGTAATTTCTCCAGCTGTTACTCTCATGAGCGAGGCGGAACATAATAGTTGTATCATGCCAACAAGCTGCCGTGTCGTTTATTGCACATCAAACATTAAAAATAATCCAGAGTTCAGTGTTTCTGTACTTCCTCTAAGAAGAAAGGACAGTAAAAGAAGAGCTCTGTGGCTTCAGGCTCGATCGCCATTCAAACGACAGCGTTGTTTCCCCCAAAAGTGGGCGGGGCCGTAAAGTGACGTCGATGTTACTCTCATCTATGAAAATCGATAGCCTACTGCTATATTTAACCATATATCGAGCCCGATCGTCGATTTCTAATGGCTTAATGCAATTGTTTGCCTGTCTGGCCATTGAAATCGGGCTCTTTGAAGATCCAAAAATCTCCGGTTTTCTTAAATTTCTGATCGGATTGGCAAAAACTTCAGAATTTGTATTGACCGCCGTTCAACTGACAGCGTTGTTTTCCCCCAAAAGTGGGCGGAGACGCTATTTTTGCCCGGAAGTGACGCATTTGTTACTCTCATCTATAGCTAGTAGTGTTGTCACGAAACGAACATTTTGGTTTCGATACCGATACCAAGTCAAGAATTGCGATTTCGAAATTTGAAACCATCCCTTTAAGAAAAGGGATGGTTTCCCTTTTCTTAAAGAAAGGAAACCATCTTAAATGTAATTATTGTGCTTTATTTCAGTCATAACACAAACTTTTAAACAATGAGAGCATTCTTCCAAAAAAATCGACTCTAATAATGAAGAAAATGAACACATTTTTTGCAATAGTAATTTATGCACAAACTATACATTACTACTTGTACTATACATTAAAATACCGATACTAATGAAACGGAGGAATCGTAACGTTTTTAACGGCAGGGTATCGCGGTACCTTTCTAGTATCGGTACACCGTGCAACACTGATAGCTAGTTTAAAGGCATATTCTGACTAGATATTAGACAAATATACTGGGCAAGATGTGTTGTTGCATAAGCTGGTCAGAGAGATGCAGGTCATTATTATGTTTCATTGCAACCCTTGTACCAACCTGCATTTATTAAAGAACTCTTTTTCCACAGGCGGCTGAGATGTGCCCAGAGCATGAAGAAAAGCTGAAACTGTTCTGCGTCACAGATCAGCAGTTAGCTTGTATCATATGCCGAGATGGGGAGAAGCACGAAGGACACAAGTTCAAACCAATCAAAGAAGCCGTCGCATCTCTCAGGCAGGAGTTGGAGAAGGGAATGGAGAACTTCAGTGGTGATATTCTTGCTACAGAGAGCTTAGCCAAAAGTCAGGGAGAAGAATTAACAAAAACCAAGGCAAAGTCTCAGCAGCTGACCTCCCAAATCCAAAGGGAGTTTAAGGAAATGCACGACTTTCTGAGAAAGAGGGAGAAGGAGATAAGGAAAGAGTTGAAATACAAAGAGGAATATGCTGTTGAGAAAATGAGCAATAACCTAAATGCTATAGAGAAAGCTCTTTCTGAGAGCAGAGAGCTGGAGCAAAAGCTAAAGTCTGTTCTGAAAACTGGAGATGCAGGAAGTCTCTTAAAGAGCTGGTCTGAGAGCAACAGCAAGATGACTCCAAAGGACGCTCTCAGGCCCAGAGCCAAAGATCTGCAAGTGGTGAATGACTCACTGTGTTTTGATCCCTATGAAAGCCACCTGCAGTTCTTCATGTGGAAAGAGATGCTTCAGGTGATCAAGCCACGGGAAGAGCTGCTCTCTCTGCAAAGCAACAGTTCAGATATAACTCTCTCTGATGACGGACAGAGTTTGTTTCCCAAAAGCGAGCAGGCAGCAGTATATTGTTCCAGTTGTGGAGTCAATTATGACCGCCGCCACAATTGTCAGTCGGGGCAGATAATTTCCAGCTAAATACTCCTAGTTTTAGGTTTATGCATCCTCCTATTCCTTCCTTTGATGGAGAACTTGTCATCCAAACAAATCCTCAGTTCACTTCAGGGCAGCATTACTGGGAAATAGATGTAGGACAGAGGGTCTTTTGGAAACTTGGAATAGAAGATAATTTCCTGAAATATGAAAGTCAAAAATATGTTACCTGCAGTAAAAACGAAACCACGGTACTCGAATTTGGCGATGTACCTCGAAAGATTGGTATTTACCTAAACTGCACATCCAAGATGCTCTCCTTCTATAATGCAGACAGCATGACGCTTATTCACACCATGAGCTTGGGCTCAATCTCCATGCCACTGTCAGCATATGTTGCCATTTACATCAGGTCCCAAGCACCAGATCGTAACCCCCTGACAGTCTGCCGGTACTGATCAACATCAATATTAACACAAGCACCAGTTTGATCAGTGTCATCTTCTTTGGAGCCGCAAATATCCGCAAATTAGGAACGTTTCATATCCCAGGAGATAAATTACAAAAATCAACAAGTTACTTTAAAATGTAAAAACGTGTTATTTTGGGGATGTGTCAGAAACTCATAATTAGTAAAATACGATAAAATAATATATACTTTATTAATCAAGACAATTGGAAGATGTTTTCGTTGCAGCAGCATGTAAAATAATTATTGCACATAATTAGATGTTTTCTGGTAGTAGTCTGATGTATATTTGTACAGATACACTTCATTATACAGCCTGCGGCAGTTCTCTCATTTTCTTTAGAAGCTCTCTAATTTTCACACAGCTTGACATAAAATGACACACAACACTTTTGTAGACATAAAAAAACCCACATGAAGCACGACAAATTAAACACATCACGTGGATTCATATTTCCGTTAGCAGCACACTGACTTTGCATAGACTGCTGTATACGATACGTATCCTGCCTGTTTATATGGAGGCACTCTTAATCGACTATTGGAGGGCAACACTTTGTATTTCTTTTATTTTTCTTTCTTTTAAAAAATCATTTAAATGTTTTCTTAAGATAATTGATGTTCTTATTTTGATCAGTATTTGCCATCTGACTTTGAACTTTAGGACTTTATTATTTTATTCAGAGAGTTTTATGAGAGCGAATCAAAGAGGTTTTCAAGCTTTCAGGCAATTCAGTTTTCATTTTTAAATCTTTATTTGAATATGTTTTTGTTAATAATACTGTTTTGTTGATGTTATGGATTCTAACAAGGGTTTAACAGGGACTAATATAGCATTCCTACTTTTGGAGCGTGATTTATATAACACGATCCTTTCAAGATCTGTACGATTTATTTCAATATTGTTTTCCGACTTGAACCCCCCTTCCTCAGTTCATTGTATAATGTGATGACTTAATACTTTTCTGAAAGATTATTGATCAGCATTTTTTATTTTAGTTATACTACTTCCATGTATGTGTTGCTCTGGTTGTGTTCTACTATCTATATATACATTGTTATTTCTTGATTATCGATTTGCTTAATAAATTCCTGAAGATAATATACTTGTGATCATGTCAAAGTTATTTACTGAAGAGATTAATGATTTGATACAATGTAAATCCAGACTTTCATTTCATTTTGTAAGAGCTTAATTTTGTATTGCAAATTGAAACAGCACTTATACCCTCCATCGGCTGTCCAGAACCAGGAGGGGAATAAAAGAGAAAGGAAGTCAGGAGCTATGAACACCAAGACCACACCGGGGATGACGAACCAATAGATAACAGGAAAGACATAATCCAAAGACTAGACACAGCTGGAGAAAGCAGGACAAAACACAAGGGGCGCCAGGTGAACACAATCACACAATCAGACAGGTGGAAAGAAACCAGGGCAAACAATTACTAAGGCAGGAAGTAAAACAAGACAAGAAATAAAGAGAAAAGGAAATGAACGTTTTCATGAAAAGTTTCAAACTAAAACCAAGATAATTACACGGTATTATCTTTCCTGTCAGAATTTGCCCAGTTGACATTAAAGGTCACCTATTATGCAAAATGCACTTTTTTTATGTCTTTTATTCATACATACTTTTATTCGTACAATCGAGCTGATCCAGATTTGCTGCGGTCATGACGTCATAACTGAAATGTGGGCTGGCTTTACGTTGAACTCTTGGCAACGTCCCCTTTATTTTCTTGCTGTTTATAGTGTTTATAGTAAACTTATTCTTAGCTATTAAAGTAGTTTTTATGCTTTTATTTTGAAGGCAGTTTTGGGCTCTGAGTGATTAGAGCACCTGGTGTGATTGAATATATTGGAGACAGGTGTTGGAGGAAGCAGAGCACTAGTAGGCACATGGTTTTTTACCAGGGTATTTCTAGCCAGAAGAAGATGGAAAGCCAGTACCGGGAGCAAAACGCAACATTTGATAAACTTTGAATGTGTCATACCACTTAACGGGATAGTGGAAATCCGCGAATTTTGGGTTTAACTTATGTATTTTTATTAAAAATAAGCATAATAAACAATTTTTTTTAATTTAATGCGCAATTTCATTTTATTTTCAATTTTACTGCGCCCTCTCAATGAAACGAAATACTTCGGTAATCGTCGGAAACAAAGGACGACGGGCACAAACAATGGCGGACATTCAATAGCATTTGCATGTGAATAGCCGACCTTTATTATGGTGAATAGATGTGTTTTGTATGGCTGTAGTGCGACAGCAAATGCAGAGAATGGCGTTTCGAGCATGCGTTTCCAAGAAACCCAGCCATTCGTCGTCAGTTGGTGAAATTTGTTCAGATAACACGGGCACACTTCACGGAGCCGAAGCTGACGAGTACTTCGGCAGTCGTGTGCTCCCGTCATTTTACTGACGATTGTTTCGAGATTCCTCGGTCTCTAGCTCAAATTGAAAGTGGAATACATAAGAAGTGAGTATTTTATTATGTTTTCTAGCTGATTTAATGCATCATTAGCCTGTACCATTGTGTACAACACCATTTATTGCCTGTCGATTAGGCGACCGGAGGCCTCGTCATCCGATAATCCGGTACACAGTGTCGAATGTGTACACTACAGTCATCATATAGACATGATAGACTAACAGTACTGTGAGTACAGCCTACACCTAAAACGACATCTTCGTAGGAAAGCCGAGAGGATGTTTCTGACTCGCTATCATCACTGGATACCTCGTACAATCCTTCTTTGTCTGGTATATTTGCCCTTCCACGTTAATTCTGCATAGACGCCATTGTTTGTTATCGTTTCGTCTTCCTGAGTTTTCGTCACTTCCGGTTTGGCTGAAGCGATAATTTCGTTTCTAAAAAACTTCGGGGAAGCTGCAATAAAGTGCTTCTAACATGCGTAAGGCAATTATTATATTTTTTTAATCAGGTGTGATTGTTTTGGTACGTAATTATGCTTGTATATAAGTTAAAACGAAACTATTTGGGGTTCAATTTCCACTATCCCTTTAATGGGAAGAAACTCAGCTATCAGATAATATTAACCATTTTTAGCTAAACGAAACACAAGGGTAATAACAAAGGCTCTGAATTAGCCCTGAGCGGAAAATGCTAATTCACTTAACGCACAGAACTCACGGTAGAAATCCTTTATTACTTATCGGATCTGCACAAAGAAGATATCAGCTAGCATATGTGTGAAGAAAAATTTAAAAGGTCACCTTGTGGTAAACCTGCAAGAGAGAAAGCGTTTGAGCTCCATCAACTTCATGAAATGATGCAAATATAAGAACACCAATGTGCCAAAACACATAAAAAACACCAACTTTGTGAACGTTCACTAAAAGCACTGCATAAGCAAAAGGCTGCACATGCAACTTACTGCAAGAAGTGCACAACACAAAACACAAAAAAGTGATTCAATCAAATAGTAATTCAATACCATAATGAAGCCAAATAAGATATGTCACAGCTTTCTACTTTTGAATGCTTTAACATTCAAATATTTAAGAGGGAGGTATCATTTAGTTAACAACATGGTTAACATGGTTAGTTAAGAACCCCCAACATGGCTTTAAACATCTCCAACATTAAATGATGAGCCAGACAGGAGAGTGCTTGGTCTCTTATGGCGCATTTCCACTGCAGCGGGGTAGCCCCGTTTAAGCGTCCCTAAGCGTCCTCGCTCTGGCCTCGGGCTGCCTCGCTGGCCGGCCCAGGCCGTGGCGCATTTCCATTACAGTTTAGGACCTGGGGTAGCAACGCAGTGTAGGCGGGGCGATCGGCTTTGTTTTTGTTCACATTTCGAGTTGTTCCGTCGAGCTCCCGCTGTGGACCAACACTATACATTGACGGGGAAGGGGGTAGCAATAAAGATAACACCATTAAACAGTTACACAACATAACATAAATAATATCGATAGCAGCGTCCCTAGCAACCACCTTGGTAACAATGAAAATGTTCTATGGACGCAATTTCCTGAAGTAATCTTCGTAATAACTAGCAAACTAAAGATCATGTACATCCACTGCACACATAATCTGAAATAACAACTCATATTTCTCGCATCAAATGACATCAAAACGCATTTTAATGGCCAAACTAACTTTAAAATAGGCATTTTCCATCGAGAATAAAACGAAGTTCGGCCATGTTTTCTTTTTCTGCAGGGAGAAATTTGAAGATCACGTGACATAGACGCCAGCCATTGGAATGAATGGTGAAAAAAACGGGGTTTGTCAAACAGAGCACATGGTGTAGTCCAAACGATAGCTGGGGATTCTGGGTAGTGTAGTGTTTTCTGCCATCCTTTACTCCGAAAAAATATTTGTTTCTCCGAATCAAAGGGGAAAAATACAAAAGCATTGCACACAATTTAAACCAATCAATGTTGTGTAATTATCAAGGATAATCTGGTGTTTTTTAGTCGATGAGTAGTGCAGATATCACTGTAAAATCAATCGACAGTAAGGGGAAGACTTACTTCCGGGTGTACAATTCTCCGTTATCCAATGAGAATGGACGCTCACATTGCCTTTAAGAGCAGCCGACACAAACGAATGCCGTGCTTCCATGAGCGTCAAATCCCGTCGCAGATGGGAATACATTGCAATCAGTTGAAAGCTATTTGCGTCCGTTTATGAAGCTGAAGGAGCCTAGGAGCGTCACAACTGGACGCCACGGACACTGACCAAACGTCGCTCCTGGACGATTATGGAGTGAGAGTGTGTTGCGCAATGCCTCAACGTGGGCGGGAGCTCAACATTTCTCAACCTTTGAGGCACGTGACGTCCCGACTCCCCCATTGTGTACTTACCCAGTCAGAAAAGTAACATATTATATCTTATATTATTAATA